TTTGTGTTGTTATTATTATTATCATTTATTATTTTTTTTTTTTTTAATGCAAAAACCGATTTTCTTCTTTTGACAGTTTTCACTCGTTTGGATCATTTGTGCGGCGGTGATGACGATTGTTTGTGTGTGTATGATGTAGTGATGTACACACACACACACACTCTCTCTCTCTCTCTCTTACTTTCCGTCTCTTTCGCGGCGGCGGTGGTCTCCGGTCGGGCCGCTTTCTACAGTCTCCGCACGACGTCTTTATAATACATTTCCATAATAATATTATATATTGTGCATTGTCGCGACCGCGTCTTTTTTTTTCCGCTCATCGTCCTGTGCGTCCCGTCGCGCGTTCGGTCTTCCGTATCTGCAGACACTCGCACTTTTTTCCCCTCCATCACGCGCCCCATCATCTGTCATCCATCAGTCTCTCAGGTCWTGACGCATATTTTCATTCCTCCAGTCCCGCGTAAGTCTCACATCTTTCGCCACCGAAGCGCAACATTTTTCTCCGAAGCAGTTAACCATCAATTGTGTCAACGTTGCACTAATTATGCACATGTTTATTGACTACACTAATCCGATGTGAAGAATAAAAACATAATTTTTTATATATTCAGTATAGATTACACATTTATATTTATTGTGACACTCAAATGCCTTACCTACCGATATCAATAATATAGAATATTTATRTAATATTCTTAAAGGTAGGTTAAAAATATTGTTTTTCGTCGTTTTATTTTACACTCGCATATTTCATGCAAAAATATCGGCTCGAATAAATTTAACATCAAGGTTTCATGTTTTCTGATGTTTCATGCCATATCTTATCTATTTTACTATTTACAACGATTTTAATAGCTATCTTGAAAATCTTAACACAAAGCATACTTTGTTTATCGATAAATATTAGGGTGACCAGATTARAACATTCCGCCAAATTTATGTTGGAAACCTTCACTAACTGGGTATGGCGGTAGTTTAATATAAAGATAATAGTCACAGTCGGGACACAAGTCATGTAGGTAGGTGATTTAACAACCAGGAACGTAAAACTATTACCGATACATTAACATTCGACATTAGGAGACGCAATTTCAATGAAAAATCTGGAAGTCCTGAATTTAATAATTTATGAACTATGAAGGTGCTGATTACAAAACTACTATACAGGTGCCTAACAGATCTAAGCTACCTGCCCCCCCCCCAAAAAAAAAAAATGCATCTTTTTACCAAACCCTTCAATTTTTTTTATAAAGAGATTTGAAAAGACCATGAAAAACATTTTTTTACTAAAACAATACGACTGAATTTTAGTCACTCAAAGGTGCTAAGGGAAAAATGATTTTGGTAAGTCATTATCATTTTTTAGGGTTATAGATAACGTTATAAATTATAAAAATTTGTATGTCGTCATGTCCCTGCACTATCCGTATAATAYGAGTCTTATAGTAACGCGAAAATCAACTACGTACGAACATATATACGAAAGTATACGTCACTGTTGACATGTTTTCATCATATGCACTCATTACCAGGACATCGGCRAAAAAATATCAAAAMYGTCTCTCGCGTACCTTCTCCAACATAACATATTACAATTGATGCCGTAAAAGTGGATAAATATTGAAACTGAGAGTTGATTGGAAAAAATGTTGAGAATTTAGTTAAATTTAATAGATATTAGTACCTATTTATCTAATAAGTTATTATTAGCACCTAATAACTTATCATTAAACTAACTTTTAAAATGTTTATCTATTCACATTCTTATTTTACAGTAGGTACATGCTACATTAATAAGTATCGTACCAGTTTTCCGTTTACCACTATTATTATTATACATACATATACATATATATATATATATAGTATATTACCTAACCTTAAAATACGCGGGAGAGTTAGCCAGTATGCGTGATTTCGGTCGGATTTCGCCAGTTGCGTGTTGCTACCGTACCGTATTTAGAAATTTAGGCACATCGTCCCATCATGTTCAAATAATATAATTATTGTATAATACTATAATATCTCCAACGATATCGCCGCCCAACACTTATAAACGGGGGCTATATAGAAAAATAACGGACCGGTTGTCCGGTGCTCGAGAGTTCAGAGGAATGTAATGATAATGACCGTTATTGTATAGGTAAGTACAGTAGATAATAATTATAATCGGTTCAATAATAATAACAGTAATAATATAACAGCTCAACACTCGTGGATTTACGGATAACTCATATAGGGRTTTGAACTGGCTGACTGCAGGTGACTGCAGGTGACTGCGCTTTTTAATTTATCTCATAATATAATAGGTAGGTTTAGATATACATGAAATTTAAACGATGAAAGTGCCTATTTTTAAACATCGTTTTTACCGTGTTGAAAGTTATGATTTATATAACAGCGATATTATACATATTATTTATATACTTGTAGTAGGTATACAAATGTTATGATTGTCAAATTGTATAGAAATTAGAAGGTACTTGTTTTTGTCGTGTATGGTATATCATATAAATGTATATATACAGRGTGATTTTTTAAGCATGCTCACTCTCATTTTTCCCTTTAATAATACATTTATTAGTCTTAGATTGTTGTCTATATGTCAACTCAAGAAGCATTCTCAATCAACCTTCTTCAATGGTATAAATGGATAAATTAAATGCATCTCATAGTTTTGGATTTTCGTATACAGTGAAAACTGTCTAAAGCGGACCCTGAATAAAACGGAAAACTATCCAATACGGAATTTTTCTATGGTCCCGGCACGTACCTATAGTTTTACGTAGACGCTCAAYCTCAATAAAACGGAACCTTCAAAACGCGGAAACGGAACGATTTTGTAAGTCCCATGCAAGTAAAAACCTTGGATAAACCGGAAAAATGACACGCGCGTGTCAAACCTAAACCAAAAATAAGGTATAAAATATAGATATGYCGATATGCRTRTTGCGWATGTACAATGTACATCGTTAAATAGTGATAGATAAAGAAGATAAAATTGTTCATATGTACATTATATGTACATACAATGCATATTATCGCATCTTAAACGATATGAAATGTCTTCTTTGTAACTGTGAAACAGTCTTACACCAACAGTCGTACGTACACTTTTTAT